TACTCAGTGTGGCTGTATTGTCAGAACTTAGTGCCAAAATCTGAAGACAATGTCTATGAGATGAAACTACCAGATTTGGCGGTTCACGTTCAGCTAGGACGGACGTTATGATGAAGTGATTGACAACACTTTAATCAGTAACACCTATTATGAAGCGTACCCACCAAGTGAAATCAAAAGATAGAAGCGGGGAGATTGAAAGATATATTTGATAGACTATCAATATATCGAGAATCGTCTGATCTAATCTGGCTAGTGATTGCAGGGGATGTTGAGGACGGCGTTCCCACTCGTGACCTGGTGTGGATGCATGACCGAGCGCCTTCAGCTAGGTGAGTCCATTAAAACATGTGGTCAGCATCCAGGTTCTATGTCTGCTGTGGTGACCATACAACATAAACGAGGTTATTACGGAAATATATTACCAAGAGACGTAGTAGGGAAGGGAGTGAGGGTACCATCTTATAGGTCGGTTCATGGCCAGCAACGATTTCGCAGCTCTTGCCGTATGAATAATCCAAAACGAGTTTAAGACTGCAGAAACATTAAAGTCCAGACTAACGGTAAGTTTCTGGAATATTGTCTTCATCGTCCGACAATAAAAGTCGAAAATTTGAAGTTAGGCAAGCAATGGTTGAAATAAAAGGTACTGGGAGATAGCCCATAGTTTAAAATGGAGTAAAATGTCGAATGAAGAAACTGGACGGAGAATTAGATTTAGATAGCTGTGCGGTCTTTGCTTACATTGCTAGCCAATATGTGTCTGGGTCGATTATGGGTCATATTTTCTAGTGGCCGATGCTTTAACAAATCTATTTCACTGAAGCATTTAAATGCTATCAAGGATTGTTTATGAACCTTAAAATGGTACATGTATTAGGAGTTTGACAACACCTTAACCAGGAACATGTTATGATCAAAATGTGGGAACCCGATGAAATCTGAAGTCAAACACGAAGAGGTTCGAAGATATATTTGATAGTCCATCGATATATCGAGAAGTGATCAATCTAAGCTGGCTTGCGGTTGTGCACGGCGTACCCATTCGTAGTCTGGTGAGGATGCATGATCGAGCGTCTTCAGCCGGGTGAGTCCAGTAAAACTGATGTGATCAGCATCAAATGTTAAAGGTTTACAGAGCAATTGGTTTTTAGGATTTATTCACCGCTACAGATGAGTCTCTCCTAGTGGGGTCGTGATAATCCAGAAGTTATAGTATTCTAATTATCGTATGAATTAGGAATTCCAGGATTAACGCAATTGAATTAAGAAGACACAGGCACAACGAATGTACTGTATTTAGAATTCGAAATCGAGCATTCAACAAGTACAAAAGAATCATTAGTTAATTCAAACACCACATCCGCCACAGCTTAAATAGAAGTATAAGTGTTTGTAATCGGTTGTACGTCTTCTTGTTAAGTTCATCCTGAGTCTGTCCGACATTGTATAAGATAAAAACTTTGTAGTATCTAGAAAGTGCTCATTAGTATTGGAATTAACAAACGAAATCGGAACAGACTCACCTGGAATTGTATACAACCAGCATGTCGGTTTTGTAATGAAATCATTAATATCTAGAATTCGAACCATAGATTTTTCAACACTATCCCCCCCCCCCACGAAATAATGTTGGATCTTTATACTCCCAAGTTATGAATAATGTGGCTTCATTTAAAACATATATCTCACATTGTTTAGAGTAAACATTAGAACTGTTTTTGTGATAAGAGTAAACAGCAGTTGATATGAAATCATCCGAAATATAATAAAACTCGAGGTCACTTAGTACTCGTGCTTCGCATTGGGCAGGTTTTTCACGAAGATCAAATACATTATGAGGATAGGTAATATATGATATGACATCAGGATTTGATTCTTCTGAAATATTCTCATGAAATTCATCAGGACTGTCGTTGCAGAGCGTAGGATCGTTAGAAAAATCAGCATCTATCCAAACCACATCAGGTTATCGATCATGATTAGGTTCATTTAACATATTTTCCTCAGAATTGCAAGTAATTTCATTAGAAATATGTGAATCATTAGGAAAAGTCATACTTGGTACAATAGCATGAGAATTCTGATAAATCGGTTGATTAGGAAATGTTGTCTCACAAGAATTCTGGAGTTCATTTAACTCTGAACTGCCATATGACTCTGAACTGTCTTTTGAAATCGTTGATAAAGATAAATGATCATCATGAATACTCGACTCAATAGAATCAGAATTACAAGACTTAATATTAATTGCAGTAAGATGAACATTAGCATTACAAACTGACTGAACTTGTCCAATATCACGACATTTGAAGCATTTAGAATTATGAAATTTACATGAATTAGAAGAGTGGAACTTGCAACAGGACAAACACTGACCAAACTTGTCCCCATCCTCGTGAACTGCATCCAAATTCAATGAATTGTCTGCATAACCTTGAGTATGCACTAGGTTGAGATGACGTAGTAATGTAGTGGACTTTTTTATATCCTCATGAATCATTTTACGAAATCTTCCTCCTTTACGACATTTGAACTTTGTATACTGAGCATAGTCTAGCAGTAGATCCTTGAGAGCTGTATAAGAAAGCGAAATGGGTTTTTCCGGCATAGCCAGAGTTCTTAATAAGCTGTATGCTTCTTTTCCAATGAATGTGAGGAAGTGTGCCACAATATTAACATCCTCATCATCTTCCTTGGTCATAGCCCAGATTTCGAACCTTTCAAAGTAATCTTCAAAAGCTTCTGAAGTTGAATGAATATCTAACTTTTCCATTGCAGGCTCCATCGCGACGCCAATATAGTATTCTAATTATCGTATGAATTAGGAATTCCAGGATTAACGCAATTGAATTAAGAAGACACAGGCACAACGAATGTGCTGTATTTAGAATTCGAAATCGAGCATTCAACAAGTACAAAAGAATCATTAGTTAATTCAAACACCACAGAAGTGTCCAGTCAGAGGTTTGTCAATAGTAAACACTCTTCTGATAGCTTGCTAGATTCAGAAGTATCTGGACGTCCTCCTTTACCATAAGGGGCTATGCGGCACAATATAGCAATGAGAGACAGGTACAATGAAACGTACGATTCACCGTAAACTTCGTCGTTTTTCCACTTTTTACAGATGTCTTGGAAAGGAAAAAAAGGGTACGTAAGTGCATGTCTACTCCTATGATAGTTATATCAACATCGTTCATAGCTGGGCTGCTAAAGTACCAACAACAGGGCCAGTTTTTATTACTACGGAAGCCATGTACCAATTACTTACCATACTTAAGTTTATATGCCACGGGGCCCTGAGAACTTACACCCTAGTTAACTACCACCCCTCTCAAACATTTTGAAATCATTCGCAGTAGTGTTCAGCATGTCGCTTTCCCAAACTCCTCCTAGGGATTGGAAGAATGGTATTGTTAGTCTTATATTTAAGTACTGTAAAAGACTAATCTTGTCTAATCACTGATTCGATGGTCTAACTAGCATAGCGGTTCAGATATTTTCAACGCAATATTGGGACAAGTAACCAGATCATACGGAGTCATATAATCTGTTAACTTCTAAGTAACTCGGCTTTTGGAGCATACATTCATGTCTGACTAACTTAGGGATTGAAAAAAGGGTTGGACAGCAGCCTAAGATAGCAGATTGGCTATCGATGTAATGTTCACAGATTGTGCCATGGCATTTGATAAGGTGTTTTATTTAGTACTTATTCAAAAGCCCTCCAACTTCTAAGTATTAGTAACACGTGTGAGTGGGTAAGAAACTTCACCTGTTACCCGGGACAGAGAAGGAAAATAAAAGAGACACTTTGTTGGTGACGACCAGTTTAGAGTGTTGTGCGTCAAGTCACTATCTTGGGCATCCTATTTCTTCTTCACAACGCCAATGAGTTACCAAGACCACCTAATTTGCTGACACTTGTTTAGAGATGTTAAAGTCTGAAAAAGAAATACGTAGTAAGGCTGACAAATGTTATCCTCAGATTGATTCAGACAACTCGGTTGAGCAGTCCTGAATTTATGATTTGGAGATTAATTATAGCCGCTAATTAATTATTGCCGTGTCCAGTATACCATCAGTAATACACTGCTTCCACAGGTATACTCAAAAAGGACCTAAGCTTTCTAGAGTCATGACTGAAAAACAACTAGGCATTACAGTTTAGCAGGTGCCAGGGGCTTTGGATAGTTAAGGATCACTTCGCTGAGCTTTCAAATGCTCGACCAAGACATGCTTAGAATTTTATACCTCACTTAGAATATTGCATTTAAACGGCTATCCCGCGTCTTATTAAAGATACTAAATTCTTATACGATTAGTGATTAAAGCACAAAAATGAAGGATAGTGACATGGATATTCAGGGATTGACAACGCCTCTACACGTAACACCTATATAATCGAAGGACACTAACCCATCCAAATCAGCAGTTAGGGATGAATGAGTTCGAAGATATATTTGGTAAGGTTGTCGATGTGCTGATAGGCGTTTTATCTAAGCTGGCCAGTAGTCGCATGGGATGCGTGGCATACCCACTCGTGATCTGGTGCAGATGCATGACCGAGAACATTCATCCGGAGTGTGTCCAGTAAAACTAATGAGGCCAGTATCAGTATCTAGGACATACAGGACTATTTATGTTGGAGACTTATTTACCGCTACAAACGCTTGCACTCTGTCCCTATCGTAGGACACTAAGTGACCTCATACCGATGAGTGTCAACATATATTGTCATGTTTCTCCATCAGAAGCTAATCATCTTCTAAACCCTCACAAGAAGGTTAAAAAACCAGAGTGGGATACCGCTTTTTTCGAGCCGCCAACGACTAAAATGTCTCATTCAAACAATTGTTATCGGTCAAAGCAGTAAGCACTTTCAAGAAGGAGTCAAGTTCTTCCCGGAAATCAAGCTACAAGCATTAAAAAAGTCAATTTACATACAATCCTAACTACCTGAGACTGAGGCTGTGAAGGTCAACTCAGGACTACCATTTAAAAACTTGAGGGTGCGGCGTATTTCATTGTCCTGCGGTAGTTAACCTGTTTCTATATCAAATAAACTAGTTATTTTACTCCTCCATACTCTCTTGATTTGTTTCACATAATCATCCAGCTAAAACTTTCTTTTTTGAGTACAGACTGCTGTTCTGCTGACTAATTATTATTTTTACTTCATATGAAGTAAAAATGAAGACTGCAGTCTTCACTTATCGACAAGTCTTAATTTACTCAAAGAATTCAGCGTCCTGCATGGTCAACAGACTTATTACTTAGACCATGCTTATTGGTTTTTTAGGTGTCAGATGATTATCTAACACCTAGGGGCTTTAAAATCCCAACAAAACACTAAATGTACTATGTACTTATGAAAGTGTTTACAAACTAATCAAGTATTTCTTTTTGAATACAGATTACTGCTCTGTCCACTTACGACTTACTGTTTACAACCGGTCCTTACTGGATTTCAGCGACCCACTTTATCAGGGTGGCTGCATAGTACTCTTGGTGAATGGCGAAAGGTCGTCTTTCTGGCTCTGACTCGTCGGACAGTGATGACGAAGTGAAGGTAAGTACTTGAGCAATCCGAAATATGAAACTTTACGGTATTTAAACTAATGCGTATCCAAATGTTTTTTTTTCCAGTGGTTACAATCGCGTCACAAACACAGAAAGACCTCGGTTCCAGGCGATGAGACAACACGTGATTCAAAGTCAGGTGGAATTGAGGAGGGTGAAGTATCTAGTGATGACCTCGATGAAGACGAAGATGATGGCCTGGATGACAACTTAATCGGTGGGGAAGATGATAAGCGTCGGTTGGCGAAAATGAGTGAAAAAGAAAGAGAAGAAGAGCTATTCAAGAGAGCTGAGAGAAGAGATGCCATACGAGCCCGCAAGGCTGTAAAACAAAAGCTAAAAGAAAGACGAGAAAGAGAAAAAGCTCAACAGGTAGCCTCTTTATCCAAGCAGCTTACCGGGGATTCAAAATCTAAAAGATCTGCTTATCACAACGTATTTTCAGACAGCGATGAGGCAGAAAATAGTGATTCAAGTGGTCTTGGACCAAAAGGCCTTAGACAACGTAAGATTGCCCTGGAGAAAAAGAAGGTATGTTTTTCTGTTTGCTAAACCTGATTTCGAACCGCTCGTTTTTGCTTTGTTGCACAATTTGTCTTGATAGGTTACTAGTTATCAGTACATTTTATTATCTTTTTTTCTTGTGAAACTGTGATCATTGGGAAATTCTTTTTTAGGTGGCTCACAGGGATAAATTTCAGGAACTCATCGAGCGTCGCAAACAACAGGCTGCTAAAAAGCGTCGAACTCATACATCAGACGAAGTGGATATATCCGCCCAAAATAGTTCTGGGAGTTCATCAGATAGTGATGATAATAGTTCAAAGCCACGTGGCAAAATTCAGGAGAAACATCAGTCCATGTCTCAGCGTGTTTTTTCCTCAGAAGCATCAGACTCTTCTGATTCAAGTCGACCTGGTTCGCGTCCTGTAGCTCGACGTTCAAGGTTGGTTGTCAAATAGTTTGTAACCTAAATTCCGTTTTGTATGATCTCGGTATTATTTATACTAAGTTCTCTCTCTTAATCCCACTTCACCTAGTTAATATAACATCTTAAATCAAATAATTAAGTAATACCGTCCTTAAGAACTTACGCACTTTCCATTTCCACCCCATTTGGAGTTAAAAAGTAATAATATCACAGCCTTGCTCAGGGATCCGTACTACGACGATTCTTAGCATATCCTGGTAAAAATGAGTTGAATGGAACTTTGAACCCATGAATCTGATGTAAGCCTGAGTGTATTTTCTTGGGAGTTGTAAATTTGTTAGAATCTTTCGCTGTTTAGTTTTCCTTAGATTGAAAGTAGCTCAGCGAAGAAAATTTTCTTTCCTACGGTGTCATTTTCTGAAACTGTGCGATCGTATTTATACCGATTTCTCGGATAAAGTAGTCTGTTGAAAGGTGGAGGGACTACACAATAGCATTTAGGTAACTTCATGTGTTGAAAGAGGACCACGTGATGAACAAGAAGTCGAAAAACGACAGTCTGAAACCGAATAGATGAAAGATAGTTGCCCACTTGACAAGGATGACGTGAAAGTGAAAATAGTAATTAAAATTTCAGGTGGTTTTGGGTAGTCTGTCGGAAACTCGGGGCTCAGGTTTCATGATACTTGGAACCCGTCAGTAACTTGTACCTGTAATCTTGCCAAAACTGGCGGATTCGATCTTTGTCATTTAGCTTCACAGCCTGGGGTGTTTCTACTGAGCTGTTCGGGGCTGCAATGTTGTGTCACTTAGACTGGTGTCCATATTGTAACCTGATGGATAGAATTAAATCAGCACTAAAAGAGGATTAGACGAACATGACAATCGTAGCTACTCAGTGATCAGTCAGTCGTAAGTTACTAAAAACTTTAAAAAAACTCGGAAGACAGTACTAACAAATAATCTACCGAGTATGGAAAATTGAGTATTAGTACCACGGTAGGATGAGAGCTTGGAAGTGTCACTTCTGTTCACATGGTTTTAATTTGAAACGATAATTTGCTAACACCCTGCAATGTATAGGTAATTGATCTATCTCTCCTTCGAACCCTATCGTTTAAACATATAGATACTTGTAAAAACCACCTGGTGCGGTTATGTAACAGGAATCTACAAGATGTTCCGGTATTGCGCTGTTGATTGTTTACCTTCTTTGGAAAGCCACGTGGTAATCCTCGGAGATGAGTTTAGAGAACGTTCACTCTGTGCAGTCACTGTAACCTGTTCCATAAGAGCAAGGGGACTTATAAATGTGCATTCGTGTATCCCAAGGTGAAAGTTTATTTTCGACACATCCACGAAATACAGTCGATACAAACTCGGCTCATTTGGCTTTGTTGATTTAGTTACAGACTTCAATGTAACTTCAAAGAGAATCTCCGACCTGACGTAGTAGTCAGGCTTGCCTATCGTGATGACTTAACCGAGCTGTATTGGCTGGAACACGTTCCCTTAGGTCTTACTATGTCAGACAGATCGGTTGAAGAGAGGTAAGACTAAAAGCAGCAACTTAAGGTCCTAAGACGAAGTCGTACTGCTGACTGTAGAGAGGCGTGACAGCAGTAAGGTGTTTCCCGAAGAGAACCAGCATCTGTAGCGATATCGCCTTATCACGAAGGGAGGAAGGGGTCAGAAAAGGTCGACCCTAATAATGCCACACCACCTTACCCCATAGATCTCCTCCGGCGGTAAAGCCTCAGGTGCGGAGCTAATACGACGAAAGCTTCCCATAAAGATACCGTACGCTATCGACGTCAAGCATTTATGCCTTAGTCTCTGCTATCGCACTCCCAGGTCGCACAAACCATTACTAATTCAGCTTCTTTTTCAGGTCTCTAGAAGAAATATCTACGATGTGGGTGACCGTGAAGTGACAACCGCCCTCATACCTCTATCGGCAGTCGAGATCCTATTGTTGACTTTAAAATCCAGCCCTCACCTCTAAATAATTCTTCCGTCTATACGACTAACCCTTCTCGTATATCTTTATCACTACACGCCACCAATGAGTTTACGAAATGTTATTCCTGGTCACCTGAAACCACTCTCGGAACTACATGTTGGAGCTTTTATTGTTCGAACCTTGTATCAGATAAGACAATAAGCTTTAGCCAGGACTCTAGAATCTCTTGGTATGATTTTCAAAAAGCTGTGAAAATAGCAGTGGTATCTACCAGTAGCTTAAAGCAAAAGGTTAAGAGAAAGCAGTGGGTTTCAGCGGCGTCTAAAGAACTGATAGGTGCTCGAAAACATTCCGTCTGGGTCCGAACACAATGAGGAGCAGAGGCAACTTAAACACGGGCTGATCAAAAGCCTATATAATGAGCGTAAGTAGTTGTAGGTAGTGGAAGCAGAAGAGATAGAAAAGGCAGCAGCGGTAGGTAGAAATAGACAATTGTTCACATTTATTAAGGAAACAGGTATTAAAAATCCGGCTGTTAGTGAAAAGGACCAAACTATTATTTACTCTCAATCTAGAAGATTGCCCTACTGGACAGAACATTTTAGTGAACAGTTCAGCTAGTTTTCAATCACACATCAGTTACCAAATATCTCCAAGCAACCTGAATGTCAACTTGACGCAACTCATCCAGTCCTTAGTGAATTTGAAAAGGCTATAAACAATCTAAAGAAAAGGAGAGCAGGCAAACCTGACGAACTGGCCACTAATTTTTCAAAATGGTAGTCCAGGTTTAGCAGTTAGATTAGTTGGAATCTTAGCTAAAGTGGACGCAATCCCATCTAACTGGACTTGATCTCTGATTTTCCCAGTTTATAAGAACGGACATAACTCCTCTTGTCACAATCACAGAGGAATCATTCCAACTAATATAGTGTCGAAAATATTAGTCTCAATAATATTTCGACGTCTAACTAGAACTTGTGAAGGGTGAATTCGAGAAAACTAGACCGGTTTCAGTCCTGCACGTGGATATATAGACCGAATACTCACCATTCGGTAGGTTCTGGAACATAAGCATACTTTTCGACGTCCGACCATAGTTGTATTCTTTGACCTTAAGACGGTGTTCGACTCTCGATTGTGAGGTTTTATGGTAATGTCTCATTGAAAGGCGTACTAAAGGATTACATTAATCTTAACAGCCTCTCCACTCAAACACTACCGGTCGAGTCAGAAGTTATGATGAACTGATATCGTAATTGGTTACTTCAAATGGTGTTTGTCAGGGTTATTTGCTTTCTCCATTTAACTTTCTCGTAGACATGTTTTCAGAGATAACACTTTCACCGTTCAACATACCAGGGATCAGTCTTCTACCAGGAAATTCCCTTGTTGGTTTAAAATAAGCAGATGATATTGTTATGTTTAGTGAAAATGTAGTCTTCTGGCCACCTTGAGCAACAATGTAAACATGTTTGGGATGCGGTTCTCCCTCGTCAAATGCAAAATTTAGCTTCAGGATTGGCTTGCGCCAGCGCCTATATCAATAATAGGATATGAAGTAATCGAGCTTATCGATCGCTTCACTTATCTTATGAGTCTTATCAGTCCTGATGGTTTGGTGTCTGACAAAATCTCCGCATGGATTCAGAAGGCTCGATTTGCTTTTTTCAACTAACGTCACTTATAGCGTAGGCGTGACATCTGTTTGTCATGTAAATGACGAGTTTACTGCACTGCAGTTTGCTCCGTCCTACTTCATAGTTATGATACATGGTCATTAAGAATAGGTATCCGTAGGCTACTGGTATTCGGTCATACGCGTTTTCGAATCATTGTTCGTGTATTTTGGGACCTCGGAGTAAGTAATGTCTGGGTTAGGAATATGGTGTTAGGTAAGAGTGGGAAGTCGGTTGACGAGGCAGTAAATTTTCACCAACTGAGGTGATTGGGCCGGTGTTACGTGTGCCGAAGACATGGCTTCTGTCTATGAAGTCATAGGTGCTGACTATCTGGCTGAGGTCCGGGTGATTATCGTAACCAATGGTTTGAGAATTTGAATGGCATGACTCAAAATCGTCTGCAATGGCGTAGATGCATCTATCCTTCGTCTTCAACCAAACTCTGAGCTTCTGAATTCCTCATAACACTTCTGTTTTTATTTCATTGATTTATTTGTCCTTGAATCATATCTTCGATGCTTAATCTTTCCAATCACCACTCATACTGTTAATGCCTCTACTAATCTGGGATTCAGTCTGACAATTTCATCTCTGTGTTAATGGGGTATGGCAACTTGAACCGATGTACACACGTACCAGGTTCTACATGGTGACTGACTGACAAAGAAAACAATATCATTTGTTGTGGATTCATTTTTCACAAACGTTCTCCTAATGAAGATGGCTTTTTATGTTATGATGTCGAAAGTAGTAACCCTAGTGTTAGTGTTCCGAACACTGAAACGTTCACAATGGCTTACATCCATTGACGTTATTTTCCGCTCTATCTCGTTTCAATATCTCTTTATACATACTTTGCCACTGCATTTTTGACCTTTCTCAAGGTTTAGTCTTTCTTTTTTCATTACGATTAATTTATTCTGATCGCTTCCTCAATTAATCTTGTTATTCTCATCTTGTCGTGCTGATCACAACTTGGGCTAGCTCATTTATGTGTCAGGTTGTGTTTAATGTCCTTTTGTCTGAAATGCTAACTAAAGGAATTACTCCTACGCTATACCTTCATTGTTTATTCTGGATTCGGTAGTGATTTCTATAGATGAACTGATGGCGTAGAGATGGGTCTACCACTGAGCCCTACTCTAGCTAATTGCTACATGACTAATCTTGACCATACAGTACTTAAATCTACAAGCGATAGCCTTCATTTATACAGACATATGTCCATCATTTGTGATGAAAATATTGACCTTATTGTCATCGTGAATAAATTCACTAGTTATGATCAGTCAGTTAAATATATGTAAGAAACTGGTGAATCTGCAATTTCAATTCCTTGATGTTTTATAAAAAAGAAATCTAGATGGTATCAGCCTTATTATTTGCCTATATGTGCTACTGACGAGTCTTAAGCTGTACTATGATAGTGCGTTGATTTCAGTCACTACATCCATAAATATTACAATAAAAGTTAGGGAAGAATTAAAAGGTTTTAGAAAATATTAAAATATAATATTGAGTTTTTATTTATTGTGTGAATTAAATGTCTTCATTTGTTTCATTTCAGCTTACAACCTTATCTCCGTTTTTAGGACTCAGAACCAGTTTCTGATTAGCATTGATTAATAGTCAGGAAATTCACGGATTGTTGTCATTCCGCTCTTATTTTAGGTTTATTGGTGTAATTTACTGGATTCTGTATCAGATTTAGTGAGAGAACAACCTAACACCTTAACTATCTTAGATAATGTATCAGTCATAAGGGATTATTCTACTAGAGTGAAACAACATACTCCTAAGTTTTATCGCTATATCCGGACTATTGGTCTTTATCAAAAGTACTTCCCAAAACTATCATTCGTCTACCAACGTTGAAAGAATAAGGAAAACAAGGTGAACCCCTGAAATTCGATCATTGGGGTACCGAATAAAGTGCTGTGAAAGGGTTAAATAAAAGTAATATTAAGTGCTATTAAGTACTATTAAGCGTATATAAGATTCAGGTGGCAGTATATTGGGGGCTTCTAATTACTTTTATGTGATAACTATTTTTTGAACAAACATTTTCATTGTTCATTTCACTCAACTTTATTCAGAGTATTCTAGTCGTGGAGGCATGCCTATTTTCTCTTAAATTGTTTCGGTGGGACTCTAAAACTATGATTTCTTCTCTTTTTTTTTAGTTTTTCCAGTTTGTCAGGTTCACAGCGATCTGGTTCTTCAAGTGAAGATGACGCTAGAGGCAGAAGTCGTTCACCTGAAGAGGAACTAGTCTCCTCTGTTGAGCATCTATCTCGTATTCGGTTGTCACGTTTTAAAATGGAAAAGTGGGTTCACATGCCGTTTTTCGATGTGAGTTTCTCCACATCCTACATGTGTTATCACGTATGGTAAGATGTTACTGAATTTATTATGGGTATCATAAGATTCAAGGTATGACATACTACATTTATCTTAAAATAATTTTAAAGTGAAAACTTAGTCAAACAAGCTTTGAAAAGTAAACAATTTCATCTTTTATGTAGTGCATTGTTAATAACCTTCTCTAAATCTTGTGAATGTGTAAAAGACAAAATACTTTGAGTATGGTTTGTGTATTTCTTTAGATTGACGTCATTATTATTTCGTTACTCAGTTTAGTGGGATGTGTGAAATTAACCAACTAATATTTCCAGTGTGTGTTTTTTATAGACAGCCTACTTGTTATACTGGTTTCTTCGATCAGTGTTATGAACTCTCTTATTGCAACCCAGCTACTGTTATTAGTTAGTATTCTTGGAAACTACTTGACTCAACAAGTCCCTTAATTAGAGCTTAGTTGAAGAGGAACGTAATTATATTCCAAATAAACAGAGGTAAATGAAAGTAGGGATCGCTATAAGAAAAATGTTAGTATATTTATTGTTTTTATGCGAAAAGATTCAAGAGTCTTCTCCAAGTACCTGTTAGCGCTGATTGGCTAAGAAATAGCCAATCGTAGGATTCGGTGTAGGATCTGGTGTTAGGATCCACCTACGACTGCGTGACTGATCTGTGCTTTCGATTTGTCCATTTTCTAGGTAGTGAAGAAGTGTTATCACCACTGCTAACAATCAGTAAAGTTCGTTCAATTCTAATTGTCATCTGTTGACTGTATATTTAATAACAATATTTTTAGGGGAATTATTATTAAAATACGGTTAGAGTTTGTAGCATTTAAAAAATATATGTTTACTTGGTTGGCCATAATTTGTAAGCCTTGCTAGAATTAGTCTTCACACATGTAGCCGTAAATGACTGTCACTTATTTTTTTATTTTTCTTCCTCAGAACTTGATAAAGGGATGTTTTGTACGTATCAACATAGGATTACATCAAGGTGTGCCGATTTATCGTTGTGCTGAAATTGTGGATGTCGTGGAAACTCCTAAAATATACGATCTTGGTGACACTCGGTACATAAATTTCCAAGTGTTTTCTGGTTATATATATGTAAACTTATTAACTGATTATAGTTACTGATTTTCATACATTCACAGTCTTCTTCCTACATATGCTTCTTTATTACTCCTTCTGTGTCTGGAATAAGTTAAGTGTATGTAATGTATTGAAGATCAAGAAATAAAAAGGAACTGTCAAAAGTGAAAGAATTATACTGCATTCAAGATGTAGTGAAAGATAAGTAATGAATATATCCTCATCACTACATATGATTTTTTATTGTTACTTGAGGTGTCCAATAATTAATTGAAATTATGTACTAAGCTCCAACTAGTAATCGTGTACTTTGATCTCGGCAACCGGGTAATATTGTAGTGAACGAAGTACTCAGGTGGGGAAGACCAATTTATTGTTTAGTGCAAAATTACAGAGTTCCTTCGTAAAGATATGAAAACTGTACATTAAATACATTATTTACACATCTTCCTTCAGTTGTTTTTTACATGCTTCATGATTATTTTAGTTCTGTTTTTATTACAATTGCTCTTTGTCTACATTCCTGTCCTCTTCAATTCGATCTTCTCAATCTTCTGCTACCAGGTATTCCACTTCTGGTTAGGGCTACATACTACTTATATCTGTCAACATAAGTAGCATACACCACAATATTATTAGTCCTTACATTTATTGTTTCTCACATTCAAGTCCCTTATGAATGAGTCAGTTGTTTTTCTTCGAAGATACTTCGGAAATACACATAATTACATCTGATAGCAACATCTCGCACAAAACACAGAGTAGATTATATATATCGGATTTATGTTCACACGTTAATATTTCCCTTCATACACGCTTTTAAAATTGAATTTTCATTTAGAAAGATGTTTTTTTGCTTGATCTATAATCGCCCCACTATATATATTTATCAAACGTCCTGCTTTTTGTAGAACTAATAAAGGAATTGTAGTTCGTGTTGGAAAAGACCAAAGTACATTTCGTTTGGCGTTCATTTCAAACTCTGATTTTCAGCAAGATGAATTCGACAGCTGGATGCGGCGAATACATCTTGCGAACATGAAACCTCCGACTTTGAATTTTGTCCGAGATAAAGCTGCTGAAATTACTGAAGCAATAAATCGTCCTATTCGAGATGAACGCGTGGTTGAACAGGTTTGTTTCACATGTGCCTGTATTAATTTTATTATGATATGATTAACGAATTATTTTATTGAGTGAAATATACATATACGCGTTAGATATTCAACAAAGATTTTTGTTATTTTGCTTGTTTTTTGTCACCTAGTCTCACTATTAATAATGGTCTCGTCCTATATCAGTGGCAAGAAGTATAAACGTGTACTCACTTTAAGGTACTCTTGATACTATCTATCGGTATTCTGGTTAACCGAAAAGTGACTCGTATGATACTTTGCTATTAAGTATTTGCCTAATTCTGTCGATCAAAATTTAATGAGGCTAACTAGTCACAAAACATCAGTTGTCACTGTGTTTATTTGTCTGATATCTCAAGATCTTTTATTAGTAATTATGTAGTTTTCTTTTCGGTAAAGTGTGCTTTCGATCTTGTGAAAAGTTATTATCTTCTCGAGGTTTGGAGATACTTTCATTTCTACTAGATTCTTATCAAAATCTACATTTGAATATATTATTATTTAATTTACATAGTAGCTGCAAACTGTTTAATTGTAATCAGTCACAATTAACTTATAACCTAATAAGAATATGCATTAGCCCAAGTCCTCATACCACGTTAATATGGCCATTTAGTCAGTCAGTCATCATGTAGAACCTGGTACGTGTGTACATCGGTTCAAGTTGCCATACCCCATTAACACAGAGATGAAATTGTCAGACTGAATCCCAGATTAGTAGAGGCATTAACAGTATGAGTGGTGATTGGAAAGATTAAGCATCGAAGATATGATTCAAGGACAAATAAATCAATGAAATAAAAACAGAAGTGTTATGAGGAATTCAGAAGCTCAGAGTTTGGTTGAAGACGAAGGATAGATGCGCTCGGGGAGTGGTCCCCTAGGAAAACCACCTGCTTCGGTTTGGGCACCCGGGCAGTATCACAGCCCTCGCACATATCGAATAAGATTTGTGTGGCACATATGTATTTGGTGCCTTCTTGTACCAATATCTATGTGTTAAAATAAAATAAATCTGCGCCATTGCAGACGATTTTGAGTCATGTCATTCAAATTCTCAAACCATTGGTTACGATAATCACCCGGACCTCAGCCAGATAGTCTACGCCTATTAACATTACTCAATCCAATTGTCAGTGACTGCGTTTAGTCGTGAGATGATGAGAAGAGGTTAACAAGATATGTAGCGTCGAAATCTAAATCATAATCGTATTAATGCTAGTGAAAAAGGATAAGCATTAGACAATACAATTCAAAAAGAAAACAAATTAGAGAAATAAAAAGTATGATGTAGTACTGAAGTTCAAAACTTGGGATAAGGTAAAGAGTAAATACGTGCACGCCGCTGTGTTTGATTATTAACTTTTTCATCCATTGTATCCAACCATGAATCACAGTTATCGTGGGCATCCCATCAGATACTTTAATGTTTATTCTAGATTCAAATTGAATCGATCAACGTTCAAGTGAATTGGCTAAAAGGTAGCAGCATAAATAAGATATGATGCAAATTAGTAAAATACCAAAAGCGAAACAAAAGACAAACTTAGACCTAGCGAATACATATTTTGTATTCATCAGTTTTAAGTCGAGATGGATGGTAGGTAACAATGAAGTCCGGAATGCATGTTTTGTCTTATTTTGGACTGGCAATATGGATGTAACTGCGTCCCAGAGTCGATGTTCGTCCCGCTACTCGATCCCAGTACCATTCGCTCGAAGCGTCATCGCATTATCCTCTTATCTACTGAGTTCACATAACAAGTGCGCGAAGTTTATTTCATCTTGTATTTGTTGTTTGGATGTTCCGATTGACGTTTAGAGCTGTCTCTTTGGCATATGCGGACCTTGTACGAAGCAAACGACACTGGGTTCGAGTCCCGGAGTAGATATGAACTCTACGATGCAGGTATGTCCAGTTGATCAGTCTCAAACAGGAGGAAACACGCGTCATGGATTCCACTGCTAGCCACCATCCATTTCGTCTTAAAATACTTGTGACTTGAAGCAATATGGAGGCAATCCGCACAGGGTGCACATGTCTCAATAACATTTTAATCAATTACAATACAAAACATCAATGTGAAGATTCGAATAACGAATACATATGAAATAAATATTCATCACTTTAAAACTGTTATATATGAACCTTAAATGTTCCTACTGGGAAGTTTATTTTCAAGTTTTACACTTTCCGATAACTAGTAGTAGTGATTTTAAGCTTCATAACTTCAGTGATCATTACTTTTTTGACCATATATGATGTACATATCTATCGAGTTCTGGTTTTACAATTGAGTGTTTTGTTTACTCATATATATGCATAGATTCTCAGCGTACTAAAATTTTAGCTAGGTTCATAGCTGCAAGCTGATCAATAATAGTTGAACAAAGGGCAGGTAAAAAACGTCTATATGTAAAATTACTTATGGTGGTCAAGAATTAAACTTGAAAGTGAGATCCTAGTTTGTCGGCTAGTTAATGATTAACGCGACTATTATTTTCAAATCGCCAGTGAATTCTAATAATTTTTCTCACTAATTATATGCACTAGGGAGAAGAAAAGTCTTTCTTATGGCTAGTGATCCTTTATTTAATATCAATCTATCAATCGGTCACATCATATCATTGCCATTTTATCTACCAAGCAGAATTCTGTTTATTTTAATTGTCCTCATAGCATGAATTATTCTTCAAACTATAAACCTTACCAGCTAATAATGATGAAATAAATAACAATGTTAATTCAATAAGTCTACATTCGACTAATGAGTAATTTATTGGCTGTAACGTATTACTACCTATGTTTAAAGTAGGTGTTACCTTTCACTTTTTGTAGTGACGCATTGATAATTTTTTATGGTCCTTTTTTACTTCATAGATCATACAATCCAAACGTCGTTTTCAGAAAGCTCCAACAAATTTTGCCTTACGCAAAGCGGAATTGATCAAACAACGAGAACAAGCAGAAACAGATGGAGATACAGAATTATTGAAACATTTAGATAGTGAAATAGAAGAAATTGAATCTCAAGCTGAACGAATTGAGAGACGTCGAACTTTAGGTTTTAAATCAATTACATCTATAAATCAACGTAATCGTGCACTTAGTGTACAACAAGCTGAAGAAGCTATTCGTAAAGAAAGTGAAGAAGCATTGAATTCCAAGGAAGAAGATCCATTTACACGTGTTCATTCTCAACCGGTAATTGTCACAAAGAAATATTTGGAAAACTTACGTCATAAAAGAGTAAGAATTGTATGAATTAAGTTTTTTGGGTGCTAATGTTTTAATATCGAAGCTATCCTAGATCTGTTCATATGTTTTTTTTAAAGAAAATTTCTGTGAGTACAGCGCATTTCATCTAACATTATGTCTAATTTAGTACATTATTCATCTAACAATTACATTCTCTTATCTCTTAATTGTTCGATTCATGAATAACTATTATTTAATCAAGCAACAGAATATTAATGGTTTTCATTTGTTGAAAAAGAGTAACATGTATGGTTTTTGTGTAACATTTAAAGGCAGAATTATTTTCAAATAGTGAAAAGAATTTGGTAACCTTTTTTCATGGTTTATCTATGTGTATTAAATTATGGAAATAGTTTTAAGGAAACTAAAATGTATTTTATTATTCAATTGTTTAACAACAGTATGTAATGTATTCAACAAGCCTAACTATCAAAAGATATCTGAATAATTGTAACTTGCTATTTCGTGTTACTTATATCAAGGTTTCCATTCACTGAATGATGATCAAGGTTAAAAGAGTATCCAGGTTCTTAGTATTTCAAACAAATGGCTTCTCAATCACTGATACTTGTAAAACAAACAGTATCAAAGTTGGTAGTGACTTTTACTTTTGATCAACTATATTATAAAAAAACGTAAATTCATTAATCTTGTAATTTATGAAAGATATCAAGTGACCATATATAGGTTAAGCATTTTTCGGTATCTCGGAAATTTGACACAAAAATAAAGGTCATCTTTTAATAATAATAATAATAATAATAATAATAATAATAATAATAATAATAATAATAATAATAATAATAATAGATCAATTTATCTACAAGATATTAAAAAAGTCAACAGTTTAGATTTACTAGAATATCTCAAATTACCTTGAACTCTCTTCTTCTTCTTCTTCTTCTTCTTCTTCTTCTTCTTCCTCCTCCTCCTCTTCTTCCTCTTCTTCTCCTGTATGTTAAAAATATCCCATGTCTTTTTGTGAATTTTTTGTTTTTATCTGACTAGCTTTATCATTTTTATAATCATAAAGTAGTTTTACAAGTTGCATCGCTATACAATGATTCTAGTTTATTTATTTTTAGATAATCAGTTATACTGAAATCTGGAGTTTCATGCTTGCTTTGAGTGTGCATGTTTGGAAAGATAATTTCAATAAAATATGTTTTTAAAAAAAATAAATAAATACTGTTATGTTAGTGATAGAATAACAGTGAAAGCTTCTACGTATATCTCAACGTATGCCAATTGATGTTTGGTTTAGCCATTTCTTAATTAGAAAGATTATGAACTGTAGTTTATGAAACTTAGTAGACTTTTATGAGATCGCTTGCTTCTTTGAATATGAATTACATAGACACTAGATAATATGTTCTGATTACTTGGAGCAAATTATATTTAAGTATAAATATGATCTGTAAAGTGAATAATAATGCCTGATACCATATGCTCAGGATTCAAACAGAACTGGATAAATGTAGTGTATTTTTATCTTAGTTGTCAAATGATTCGTGTTCAATCGCGGATTATTGTCACTCCAGTCCTTCTAATCTATGTGAAGAAATCTACACTTCCTTCGTTTCGCTTAGACAAACAGTTAACAGGTTTTTGTATAAGTTTCATTTCTTCAATTTCATCCACATTATTCTCATTGTAGCGGGTCAGTCTAAGTTGTGGTAGAGAAGATTCCTGATAATTTCTATGAATTAACAAAACTTCAGTCAAATCACGTTTTTTAACTACTAGTTCACTTTTTCTTTGTATTTAATGTATATTTTTAAACATCAATTTAAGGATTACGAATAAACATTTTGTGAATTTATACTAGTAAAAGTTGCTTAATGACTACTGTTTGGTTAATTTCATTACAGCTTGGAGTAGTAGCTCAATCAAATACTTCCTGTGATTTGAATCAAAGTTTTCCTCCACCACCAACTCCTGATTCAGAGCTAAGCATGTCATCTAAACATTCTTTGTTGAATACACCAATGGGAAGTAATAGTATAATAACTGAAGCACCTGACTCAGTATGTTGGTCATTGGGAGATGATAATAGCAACTTATCCACACCGCATGATTCTCTTCATGCAATACATAATTTTGAAATAAATATTGATTTGGATTTGGATGGGAATAATGATCAGGCGAATTCCAACGGACGCACAGGATCAACTAATACTGATGTACGACATTCAACTAGTCCTAGATCACGTGGTACTACAAATTCTACTCATGATTTTACCAATGGCAGTCCCCAGACACCAATGAACGGTCCATTTGGAAAACCAAATCGTCGATTGTTAAATTTACAAGAGTACAAGAAACGTCATGGATTAATTTAATTCCTAGTTGATATGCAAATATTGGTATTTTCCTTATTCAAACATACTATCATTTATTGCTATTTTTTTCTATATGTGTATGATTAGTAGTCTTATCACACCGGTCGTTTAACTTCGTATTTGCATGTGTATGTATGTGTTGTATATAGACGTCTGTAAGCCCTTCCTTTATGTTTTACACCTTTTTTTGTGAAATGTACATAAGAGAAAAAAATTAATCGTAATTATCTCTTTATCAGTTTGCCTCTTACATGAATGGATTTTGTAATAGCACTTGTAATTCGTCAGGATATGTATCAACTAGTTGCGCTAGTTTAGAACCGAACACACTATTCTTTACCAATAGGTTGGAACATGCTACGAAATGTTTTACGTATCCATCAACAGTCTTTCTGTTTTAATCGGTATGATACTTTTTAACTAGTTCGGTGATATGATGTCCGAAATGTCATATTTTTGGAACAATTTTGCTCATAAATGCTCAAAATCGTTTGCAATGGCGCAGGTGCATCCACTCTCTGTGTTCTCCGAAATTCTAATCTTCTGAATTCTTCATGTCCCTTTTTTCCTCTTTCCAAATCTATTTCACTGGATTATACTCTTTAAATAACATCTCCAAACCCTAATCTTCCCGATTACTGCTTATACTCTTATTACCTCTACCACTACGGGATTTGAATCGACAACTGCATCTCTGTGCTTATGTGGTGTGGCAACTCGAACTGATGTACGTATGTACGAAGTTCTACGTTGTTACTGACTGACTGATAAATGTGAAAACTACATTCCTGTAGAATCATATGTGTTCTCAAATCTCAGTCTCAAGTTTTAAGCTTACGGCGGCCTGTTCAGACGTCTTAAGCCCTCTATTTCCTAACCGAGCGAATATTGTAATAATTTTTTTGTTTAAACCGAATAATAATGAGTCCTAACTGTATGTACTAACGTGGATTTTGAAAGGCCTACAATTTATCACAATACTAAATACGGGAAATCTGTTACTGAGACGTTACACTTCCTCGTTTACTCTTTGAAAAAGTGTATTTGAATTCATGCGATTATTATCTGATATATGAATAAAATATAAGCTAGCTGTAAAATTTCATCATTGAAGATGAGTGGCAGATATGACTATTGGAAAAACATTTACTAAATATAATTTTTAAATAACTACAACTTGAATGTACGTTAAGAAGCGGTTGCCCCCAAATGCCGTAATTCGGTAGAGAGTGGGGAGAGTTCGCTCTCCCTCTCGAAATGCTCTCACATGGCCACGCGTATATAGCCTCTGCCAGGGAAGTCCTACTCACTGCCTTCTCGTGGCGGGGGTGTTATAAAATTGAGAGGACGAAAAGCGAATGTCCGGCGCTTTAACTGGGTTGGTGGATATGGAGGATCGACCTAGAGTAGTTGGAAAACCCCGATTCCAAACCAATGTTGTACATAGGCTCCAGGATCCTGAGTGGGCAAATGGCATATGAACCAATTGTTTTCACCACCTACCATGGAACTGCATATCCTTACGGTCTCCACTGCCTTGTGGCTCAGACCGTTTGGTCAAAGGCTCCTGGTGTGGCCCCCTAAGAAAATCACCTGCTTTGGTCTGGGCACCCGGGCAGTATCACAGCCCTCACAAATCTAATGAGATGACAATTATTTCACGAAATACTACGCTCGCTTCAATTAGAATTCAGACATTTCATATTCACACCATTCCTCTCCAACTTCGCCATCGATAACTTTCCGAAAACAGTTTTGATGGATGTAAGTAATGATGGTGTGGGTCTGTTGCCTACAGAAAGACTTCTCGACCTTGAGTATGCGGATAATATTTTCTTTCTGTGCTATAATACCCAAGCCATGCAATCAGCACTTAATTAGTTGGCAATTAGTGTCTGTGGGTATGGTATGTGCTTCGCACCTTCGCAGACTTTTACAAGGCTGGCAGGACCGTGATCATGTACTCACCCTGGATGGTGAGCAGATCGAAGTAGTCGAGAAGTTCGTGTATTTGAGTAGCTGCATAAGTTCTGGTGGTGGCGTGAGTGATGAGATCAATGCACGTATAGTGAAAGCCAAAGCGACTTATGCCAATCTGGGCCACTTTTGGCGCCTTCGTGTTGTCAGTTTGGTTGTAAACGGTCGGATCTACAATGCGTCCGTGAGAGCAGTTCTGCTCTATACTTGTGAAACCTAGCCTCTCCGAGTTGAGGATGTTAGACGATTCTCTATGCTTGATCATGGTTGTTTCCGAAGGATTGCTGACGTCCAGTGGCAACACCATGTTAGTAATGCAGAAGTTCAGCATCGTGTGTTTGGACACGGAGACGATAATTCAATTGGTGTCACTATCTTGAAACATTGACTTCGGTGGCTTGGACATGTTCTCCGAATGTCGTCCCAGAGAATTCCACATCGTGCATTATTTGCTGACTCTGGGACTGGTTGGAAGAAGCGGAGAGGTGGTCACTGTATGACATGGTGTCGTGGTATGAAAGAAATCTGCAAAGGGTTGGCTTCTGCTGGTCCTTCATGACTCCATAGCTGGGGTCCGAGAGATGGTGCGACACAGTGGCTAGAGACGTTATCAGATATGGCTCAGAATAGAAGCCAGTGGCGATCCTGCTGTAACCTTCTTTTACTTTCTTCATAAATTGTGACCGTAACTTCTTTAACTGGAAGAATTTTTTCTGGTTTTACCTTTACGTTTCCCCCGTTATTATTATTATTTCACTATCATACACTAATTTGTGGTCTTTATTATCCTTTTTTCTTTTTATACACACTTTAAATTCTTTATATCTTCACATTCTCATTATTATTGTGTGGCGTATATGTATCTGGTGCCCCCTTGTACCAATATTTATGTGTTTGAATAAATAAATAAAAAGAGGTTCATTGTAATATGGCACAAAGGATGTTGAGAATTTCTTGCTGTAACAAAATTTATAGTAATGATTAAAGCTTATAATAATAATAGAACTGCTCGTTTTAACTTCTAATGACATCGAAGTAAAGACAAATTAGGTATCTTATTTATAATTTAACGACCGATTTGCTAAGGTTTAGTGTGCATATGTGTTATTATTCTTTAATAAACTCTTTAAACTTAACAGTTATATTCTAAATGAGTGAAGAAAATACTAGTCACGTTTACGACACAGGTATTTTAAAAAATAATGAGAACAGTTTGTGATTTGCACTTTTTCATAGATGTTTTACGGAATTTAACCGGTCAACCAGTAGAATAACTTTGAAATGTTAAATAGTTAATAAGGATTTAACTAAAAGGCAGTTTGTGTATTGCTAGAGATTGTCCGATAATTTTCATAGGCTATTCATCAACCTTCACTAGCAAGCTTAGTTACGCTATACAAATTAATATGAGTGATATCAATGTTAGTAGGAATAAAAGTTGTTATCCGCATACCTGAGGACGTTTCACAAATGTTATGACTAACAAGAGCATATTTTCAGCCATGGAATTACTTGTCATTCAGTTGATGGTGGATACGATGTCGTCTCAAAATCTTTCATAATAGTTAGCAAGCAAATTAATTGGGATTTGCTACACTTTAGTGTATCCAAAAAGATATTGGTTAATTTGGTTTTCTTTAAAGTAATAGCTGATTAAACTGGAGTTTTGTGGTTCTACTTCCAATGCAAATATTCCACATAATTTTTGGGTCATTTCCTGTTCACTACATTCCTATCAGTTCATTTCACACGTCTTGACACGAGCAATAAAATTGAGTTAGGCACAATATTTCTCAAAGAAATACTAATACAAAATAAATAGCAATTAAAGCATACGTATCATATGAAAGTTATATTAGGAACTTCAAACACTTGAATTATTCTATCTGTTCTGAGCATGGGAGCTTAATCATTAGATATCTATCAACTTAACACGATTAAAACCTTTCCTCAATTAATTAGTATAAAACCAATCCAGTGTCTATGTAGCAATTCGACATTTTATGGTATGTAACAGAATGCAGGCCATTATCTTTCTTGAAGAAAAAGAACTATACCATATACTTGGATTCGTTTCCAATCAAACCCTGATGATACAAGGCTCTTTCTAATACTGTTTCTATAACGTAATTTTCAAACAGTCATTGATGCTCTCACTTATATTCAGTCGCGGGTAGCATACTTTTGCTTATTACACTTCATTCTCCTTTCATTGTAATCACAAGGATTTTATGAAAGGAAGAGCTACTAAGATGAACAGGCCATGCCAGCCAAGCCTTTTCAAAAAGATTTTGGAGAGAAATCAAATGTCTAAAATGTTTGATAGTATTTTACATATACGTAGCTAGTTGACCATTAATGCAAAACTCCTCAAACAAATACGATGGCATGTACCTGGTGAGAAGCTGGAGTGTGTGTGTGTGCAAAAGTAGATTATTATGCTATATCGGCAGTCATATTCTTGTGGTGCCTATACCTGACTCCATTTATATCATATGCTGATTGTTATAAAAATATACATGCAGCCGACCCCTGTATATTATTATAAACTTAATTCGGGTTAACGAATAACGGAATAAAATAAATCAAATTCGTATGCTTCGTAAACTCATTGATATGAACATACATTTCGAGAAACAAAGTGAGGAAAGCGAAACAACGGAGAAGACTAGTGAGCCAACTCGATTTGATCAAACGCGACTCGATATTTATAGTCAGACAAAATTAAGTTACAGACACATAATGAATAGGGTAAGTAAATAACACATATATACTCAAACAAAAATAGCCAGGGTTAGTAAGCGAATTAGTGACAAGGTCAAAATGTGGATTGAGAAGAATGAATAGATTGGTCTGTCCAGAAGCTAGAATAACCTACGTGGTTTGACATAGTACCAGCCACTACAACACATTAACAATGATATGTATTTACCATTACACTGTATAAACAGTTATGTCTATTAGTATAGCATCTACTAATATAAAATGTATCTTGAAAATCTGTAGTAGGTCTCAACTATACCCTGAATCAAATAGGAGTGGAATCCACTGCTAGATACAATCCAGTTGTGCTAAAACCACTATTCCTAACACGGTTATGATACAAATATTTTAACTACTAATGAGTAGTCTTGTTTGATAAATGTCATTTTGCGTAACACCATCTGTGACTAAACAAATCCTTTTTTAAAACAATTAGTCCCTTTTATAAATTTCGATAATGTAATTAGAAGACGAAGATTATCAGAACTGTGTGATAGGCTAAATAATTTGAAGACTAATATGAACTTTTAAACCAGGTTAGATAAATTTTGTGATGATCAATAATCTACAAGGGACTTCAATAATAATCAGTCTTAAGAATTCATATCTGCTGACTTTCAATATTCGGGACTCTTGGACAAATTCTTTAATGGTCCTAGCGTTTAAACAATGCAGAATTTTCTTTACTCAAAACTTGTCAGTTTTGTTCACGTAGGTCCAGAACTGTGATACCGAACACTTCAAAACTCAAGTTACTTTGTGATTACACCATTTGAGCATATTTTGTGTTTTTTATACATTATTTATTAAAGACAAATCTATACTTACAAAAATTGAGGACTACTACAGAATCTTTCTCAAAAATAGTATTTTACACCAAACTAACGCCACCTTCAATTCACAATTTTATGTGCTACCTATTTTTTATTTTGTCAATCTGATCATGATCGTGAACCGATATGCATTCTCTGGTCATTCCCAGATGTATATATTATTATTGATCAGTATTGGGACTTTCAGTGACTTCAAACGCCATTAGACTAACCAATAGAAATGAATTGAATTCGCTCCTGAATATCAACACGTAAACAATATAAACGTTTTATGTTAGTCACAACTTTTCTAATGATGGTAACTATAGTGAATCAACAACACTACAGTAGTGAGTACTACTGAGTGCTTTTTGATCAGCACCATTGGAATGCAAATACATCTAACTGAACAGTGCAAAATCGATCCCACTGACTTGGCAATTTATAAGGATTATTTTTGGTAGTGGTCTTTAAGACTTATGAATAATGTCTTAAAAATGAATATAATAAGGATATTTGGACGTATTCAAATATCTTAAACGATTTTAGTACGAAGTGCTTACTTTACACTCAATAAGCTTAGTTAAGGTTCCGATGAGTATTTCATCAGTACATTTCTAAGTGTTTCTCTGAGACCTATTCAGATATTGTATCTTTTAAGATGGAATCATTTTATTAGTTATTCAAATGTGCATCGATTCAATCTATTGCACTTCACATCAGGAAAGCGAAAGAGTGACAATTTCAACATTAATGGAGATTGAAGCATGAGAGATATGTTTCACAAGGGGTAGGTGAGATAAAAGTATGAAATATTGGGAATAACACTTAACTCATGAACAAGTAAAATATACTAAATGTATATAACTGCTCCACTACCATGGAATTTTCGCCATATCGACATAGTGTGTACCGTAACCAAGGAAGCTGCAGCTAATCAGCTGTCTTCTTGAAATATTTTCTGTCCTGTTGAATTTATGTGTACTGAAAAACATATGGAGAAACAATCTACTACACTGATCAATATTTTGGTGATATTTCACTCTTGTGTGTGAATATCGAACTTACTGGCATTCAACAAATCTAAGGGATCAATTATGTTACGAGAAATCATGATTGTCATCTCGTTATACGTGTTCTTAATTTGTGTATTCAGCGGGCAGATGTAAGTGTAGGTGTTATTGTATAAGTGATGCTAACAATCATATATCTTTCTTGAGTCCTTGATGGTATGATTGAGACATTCTGTTATTTACTTTCGATATGATGGAGGATATTGTTAGCTCAATATGTCAATTTCGGAGGCATTGTATTGTTCACGAAGTTTCTCACTAAAGTGTGGGCTGATGTTGTTTGGAAAGAAAATGAAAGCTTTGCGATTAAAATATCTAGCTTACAAAAAACAGTACCTTCAAAATATTATTGTAGTTATGATTTAAAAATGCATGTATTTGTAAATGAAAAGTTACTCATAAGACTGAACAGGTTTTCGGATACCATACAAGTTCTTTAAAACCGTTTGTTCCTCTGCTAATCATTTTTATCAGAAGAATGTTTTCTGAATAATAACTTCGTAGATTGTCATTTCGGTACTGAAGTACCACATTTGTAATAGTGTAGAGAGTTTCCGACAATTCTAAACACTCATAGTGAAGTATAGTATTTATGAAATGTTGACCATGCAAGTAGAGTGGTGAGTAAGGTAACATTAATGTATGCTCAGTCATAATACTTAAACTATATTCTATTAAGACAATTCATAAAATTTCTAGCTAATGGCAGATAAATTATTTCATACAACTTTCACGGTTGAAATAGATATAGGAAAATCTATCATAGTTCTAATGTGATGTAGCGAGCAATGAATTATTCGGTTGGAGTAGGAATAACATACAACTGACTTTTTCTGATGTCATGTAATCATATCTTGAGAAAGCGCAATTACATAACTTAATAAATTAATTATAAATAATGAGTCTATATGGTATAGTTCGATTTATATAAATTTGACTGAAAATAAATTATATACGAAATAGTGTGTGTTTCCTGGGTCAAATAAATCCATTTCACCAGTCTCTGTGTTTTCACTACACGTTGTCGGATTCAAGTGTTCAGTACCAAGCACAAGCCCGTTTAGCACTCTGTAGATATAATAATGAAAGACATAACACAATGCTTACTGTCTTAAAACCATCGAATCACAACATGTTCTACATCCAGTTTGAAAAACAAACCCAAAGAAAAGACATTTTCTAATTAAACACACTCTCTGAAGGAGAAACTTTATAAAGCACTTGTAAAGGTAATTGATATTTACAGCTTTAAACTTAAATATCAATTTTGAAAACCTGGTAATTTACTTGGTATTGTTTGGCTTGTATCTTCTCATTAAGGTTTAAGACTGCAATTGATCAGATTGTTATTG